AGATTTTTCTTGAAATTACCTTAAATTAAACATTGGTATCTAACTGATGCTCTTGGTTTTATTTTTAATTCTGTATATATTTTAATTAAGACGTTTCTGTTGTGGACATCAGGACCATTGAGCTTCTACATGTTTCAGTAAATATCAGTATATTTTAGTCCATCCTGGTCGTTTGTCGGCAGTAAATAGTTCAGTGGTTCTAAAGCAGCTTGGGTCTCTGGAGAATGAAGATTGAATGCCTCTGCAGTCGGCTTCTCCTGCTGCCAGCAGCTTGCAGCTTAATGCCTCTGATTACTGTGTTAAGAACGATGGATATTAGCTGCTGACTGCTGCTGCAATCTGCTCTAATCAATTGGTTATTGATCAGAGCAGCAGACTGAAGCAGCAGCAGGTCTGCAGGCTGCAGCTTTGGATTCAGCTGGTCGCTTCCAGTATGAGAAGATCAGAGCTGAGATTTAGAGTTTAGCTGCAGAGTGAAGCAGAGACTCCTGAAAATCAGAGGTTTGTTCATGGAGGAGTGGAGTGACTCCATTGGTCATACACAGCTGGAATAAGTTCATCTGGGTCATATTATTGTCACAGCTCAAAGCCAGATGTGCATAAATCATCTGATTTCTCTGTAATCACACTGGAAGAAAACCTTCCCAAAATGAGAAAAACATGTCCTAAAGCATTAAAACCACGACCAAATAATACATTTAATCAATTTATTTAACCAAATAATTCTGACAAAATTACTACAATAAACAGTTTATGTTTGATCATATCACATATGAATCTTTACATGTAAAAATAACAAATATATTTTACAAAATGACACAAAAACAGTTTGAAATAACTAAAAATGCACCCAGAATAACAAGAAAAGATGTAAATAATTATCCAAATTTGTCCAAAATGATTAAAGGTTTTTCCAGATTAAAAAATCTCTGAAAGGGCTTGAAATGTGCCTCGAACTCTGTCCAAAAGTACAAAAAAAATAAATAAATCCAAAATGCTTCATCAATTAAATATCCAAAATGACACAATTATTTGTTTAAAATAACTGAAAACTTGTCCAAAAATCATTGTAAAAAATAACCACAATGATTCAAAAATCATAATTAGTTCAAATTGACTCGAAACGAACTCCAAAATACCACAAAAAAATTGTCCAGATTTATTCAGACAAATTACTCCAAATTTGTTCAAAATAATTCAAAAAATTCTGAAATGACTTAAA